TTAAGTGGCTACACAGCCCTTAATTCGAACTACTTAATTCGAACTAGGCGTTAGTCCTCGTAGAATGACGTTTACCTAGTTCGAATTAAGCGCTCCGCTAGTTCGAATTAAGTTCGAACTAGCGGTTTGCATGTGTAGCGCCTATCAAAGTTAATTCGAACTAGCGTCTGTTAGTTCGAATTAACTTTGTAGTGTAGACATATCCCTAGAGACTAACAAAAGCATTTTGTATAATGAGCTTTCAGGGGCAAAACCCACTTCTTCAGGTGATCCTATATACTTTTACTTGTCTCTGAGGTGCCACAGGACTACTCATTTTTATAGGTACTGATGAACACATCTACCTCTCTGAGACTCCCTAATGTTTAGTCAGGGGTATTTATAAGTCATGGGCCATGAATTTTTGTTTATTCCCCATGTCCTGTCTATAGAACTGGAATGGCCCTGCTCAATCAGTACACACACTGACCACTCAAACTAAACCAGCGGTTCTCAAAACTATGGGTTGGGACCCCATGTTTGGTTTGAACACCAAGGCTGACTTAGATTTGCTGGAGCCCAGGGCTGCAGCTGGAGCCCCACCATGCAGTGCAGAAGCTGAAGCCAGGGGTTTTTAGCCCTGGGCAGCAGGGCTCAGGTTACAGGCTCTCTGCTGGGGACGGAAGCCTGAGGGCTCGGGCCCCCTGCTTGTAGTGAAGGGAGTCGGGCTTTGGCTGCATCTCCCCTCCACCCTCAGTGGCTTGGGCAGGCTCAAACCCTTCAGGCTTATGTAGGCTTTGTTGTCAGAAGGGGGCTCGCAGTGAAATTTGAGAACCCCTGAGCTAAAGTAAACACTATATGGAACACTGGTTCCATCTAGCAGGGCGTGGCGGTATACACACCTGGACATGGTATACATACATGGACATCTCCCTCCACCCCCGATCACTACATTTTGTACAGCACCTAATAAAAGGGGTGAAGGGTGACCACCAACCTGACAGTACAAAGTACAGCAAGGGAAGAGTGACTTTGCTCAGTGGGTCAAGCTCTCCTGTTTTACAAGAGCTGTGGGGCATGTGATGGTTATATGGGACAAATAAGACCCTTCTTTTTATAGTTACAAAAGTGTTTTCTGAAGGGCACCCACATGGAAAACTGAAACTATATCTACTCGCCAAGCATGGAGAGACAAATCAAGCTGGCAAAGATTTAAATGCTGGAATTCCAGGGCGTGTGGATATTTCAAAACTTATGCTTAGACCCACAAGCAATTCCCTCTGGGGGTTAATACATCTTAAGCATAATTCTGGTAGGCTGGGTATGTGTAATGGACACAATTCTGTTCTGTAGCTAATATAGCAATCTTGTATCCTTATAGGGCGAAGATGAAGCAGTCACTCTCAAATCCTGCACACGACGGAAAACTGACTCGATAGAGAAGAGGTTTTGCTTCGACGTGGAAGCAGTGGATCGGTGAGTGGGGCAGATGTCTTTCTCATGCCAGTGGAAGGGGGCACAGCCTTGGCTTACATAGGCTTTGATTTACATAGTGATGCCCAGCCAAGGAGTCAGAATCATTGAATCATAAAGCTGGAAGAGATCTCAGGAGGTTATCAAGTCCAGTCCCCTGCCCAAAGCAGGACCAACCCCAACTAAATCAACCTAGCCAGGGCTTTGTGAAGCTGAGATTTAAAAACCTCTTGGGTTGGAGATTCCACCACCTCCCTAGGGAACCCATTCCAGTGCTTCACCACCCTCCTAGTGAAATAGTTTTTCCTAATATCCAACCTAGACCTCCCCCACTTGTGCACATCCCTTTGTGCAAATGGCTGTACCAGCAGCAATATGTGCATTGCACGCAGATCTACTGGGCCTTGTGGGAAAATTCTGGTGCCATTTTAGCAGTATGTTTCTTGTCTCTCTTAATCACATTCTCGGTGAATGGCAACAGGTAGCCCCTGCAGCTGTCTCCTTTTTCCAGTGGGGGAAGGGGCTTGTTGCAAGATGAAGCACTAATTCCCTGTATGGTGCAGAATTTAATCAAATCTCTCCATTTTGCAGAGTCTGTTCCAGTGAGGTAAGTATCATTAACAAAGGAAAAGATGTCTCAGAGGGGTGTCCATGTAAGTCTGTAACTTAAAAAACAAGTAGTCCAGTGGCACCTTAGAGACTAACAAACTATGTATATTTTTGTTAATCTCTCTGGGTATGTGTACACTTGCACCCTAGTTCGGACTAGGGATAGAAATGCAGGCATTAGAAATCGCTAATTAAGCGGGGATTTAAATATCCCGTGCTTCATTAGCAAGATCTCGCTGGCGCACTAGTTCGAATCACAGCTGATTCGAACCAGGAAGTGTGCTCCGGGACGCGATAGTTCGAGCCATGGGGTTTGGTTTGAACTAACGTTACTCCTCATTTTTTGCATCATTTTTTGAGGAGTAACATTAGTTCGAACCAACGCGTCCCAGCACGCACTTCCTGGTTCGAATCAGCTGTGATTCGAACTAGCGTGCCAGCGAGATCTTGCTAATGAAGCACGGGATATTTAAATCTCCGTTTTTATTAGCAATTTTGAATGCCTGCATTTGCAACCCTAGTCCGAACTAAGGTGCAAGTATAGACATACCCTGTGAATCCACGGAACTACCTGTTGCTTTTAAAGGAAAAGAAATTCAGCCTGGGTTTTAGAAAGTCCTTGTATGTGGCATAGACACTGCACATCCTTCTAGTGTCTTTGTGTTTTGTATATAACATGATTTCAGCTTTTGTGCTGGAGAATGGCTGGTGCAGGTTCACTGCGGATGGCTGCTTGTAGAAATCCCACACTCACACCCAGTGCATGACTCTTTAAAATTGCATCTTCTGATAGGATTTATCGGTTGGAAGCTGAACCCGCCTAAGTAAAGCATGAAAATGTCTGTCTCATCATTATTCTCTGGTAGGGAACAAAAAAACACGATGAGAAATGATTGATTGCATCATCCCCTGTGTCCAGGAGCCTAGACAGAAACCAGGATCCTATAAAAGAACTGAAACTGAGTCCTCACCCTGGCATCCCCATATCCTTGTGCTGGGATGTCCTGCTAACACGTGCACCTTGCAGTAGTATCCCACTTGCCCCTTTGTCGCTAACGTCTGTGCCCTCCAGACAGAACTGTCCTTACACATCATTTGCTCTACAGAGCCTGAACACCTGCATCACTTCCCCCATAGGAGTGTGTGTGCACCATTGGGGAATAGGCTGCTCCATGTGGGGGCTGCTCTTCAGGACTCTGGGGGCCAGGGCCAGGGAAGCGGAGGGTAGGAGAGGGGCAGGGAGGCTGGGGGAGGATCAGGTGGAAGGTGGAGATGCCAGTCTGCGAGTGGCGCGATTGGAGCTGTGGGCCCGAGGCACAGAAGGGGACAGCCTCGCAGCTGGCCACAGACAAACAGCAGCTTCCCCTTCTGCTGGAAAGCTGGACAGCTGGCAAGCAGCGACTTGGGGCTGCCACTCCCACATATGCAACACCTAGCTGCCTAGGGCACCAAGAAATTTGAGGCAATGATGCCCCACACAGCTGCATGTTCTGTGTATGCATAGGGACGGCCCTGATTCCAGAATTCCATTCCTCCTTTGTCACTGACTCACTGTATGGCCCTGGGCAAGTTACTTTATGTAATTACTTTACCTGTTTGTGCATTGGGGATAATAGAAACTCTGTCCTCTTCCTCCCAGACTTTCCCCGAGGCTTGTTTAGGCACTCTACAAAGTGTTTTAAGCTTCTTGGTTCGAAAGTGCTATGTGAGCAACACATTTTAATTACTAATTTATTTTGTTATGACGTGACAGCTTGTGTGTATCTTGCATGAGGGAAGAAAGAGGAAAGGGGGAATGGACAAGGAAACATGGCAGTAGATGGGGCACTGCCTTGGGACTAGAGGGAGCTGGCTGGGTTCAAATCCTGGTTCAGCCAGCACCAGGCTTTCCTATGAAACCATGACTAATACACTTAATCTCTTTATGCTGCTTCTGCCACCAGCAGAATGGGGTAATGCATCTTTATCTCACTAGGCTATGTTTACACAGCAGCGTTATTTCAGAATAACATCAGTTATTTTGAAATAACATAGCCTGTGTCTATACTGTAAGCAGTTATTTCGACATAATGTCGAAATAATGTCAAGCTGGAGGATTTCTTACTCCATCTCCTGTAATCCTCATTTTACCAGGCGTAAGGGAAGTTGGAGGCAGAGTGCTCTCACTCAGACTTCCTGCTGTATAGACAGTGCCAAAAGCCAAAATAAGGTATTTCAACTTAAGCTATGCAATTGACGTAGCTCAAGTTGCGTAGCTTATTTCGGCTTTAGCCCTGCTGTGTAGCTGTGCCCTTAATGATTGTTGTTCAGATATTGGTGATAACAGCCATAGAAGCATTTAGAGACAGAGGAAAGTTCATATTCTATTTAAGTATTTATAACTCATCGTTGCTGTGAAATCTGAGTGCTTCTAAAATTTCTATGGGTATTAAAATATTAAGAGAAAGGTATTGGTGTAGCCACAGCGAAAGTGATTGGCTAAAATCACTAAGCTGCATCTCATGTCTAACATTTTGGTACCGTCTCTAGGTGGCAGTCTTGGTGTTTTTCCCAATGTTGTGTTATAGTCAGTGTGAAAATAGTAGTGCTGTAACCATTGCATTTTGGGAAACTGGTTTAATTTGCAATTTATTGTGGGAATGTGCCTGTGTTGCAGTGATGCATGGTATTTTGCAAAATAATCACCATTAAATTTACTGTCAATTTTCTGTTCCTTCCTTTTCCAGCAATAAAGTTTAATCAGTACTTTAAAAATGAATGTCTGTGTATGATTTGTGATAGAAATCTTCCAAATGAGTATTGTTTACCTCTTTCCTGTTCTTTGGCAGGGAGTAAGAGTCCAAAGTTCCCATAGAAGACATGGTGCATATTTGGGGGAGCAAAATTAAGTGTCAAATGTTTCTAATATGGCACATGCTAATACTTTTGATTTTTGTTTGTGGGGAAGCAAACAAGGCATAGTTTAACATTGTGAACAAAATGTATCTTGTATATTCATAATGAAGTGAGCCCCTTAAATGGTGTAATCCTGTTTGGCTGATCAGATACATTGTGCCAGGTGATGTACAACTTGGTGTTGGCTAATGCTTATTTGTAGTTTTTGCCTTAAATCAGGTTTATAAAGCAGGGATAGCGCAGATGTCTTTAAAAAGGAGCATTAGGAGAAGGGGCATTGCTGGTGCCTGGCTTGATAATTGCCTAGGTATTCGGGGTTTGCCCCCTTGATTGATTGAATGCTACATTTGTCCAGATTCTCCCCATGCCATGTGCAATTTGTTGTTGAAGAGTCTGCCACCATTCTGCTAGAAGGCCCATGTATTGCTGACTTGGAAACAACGGGTATCTCAGCACTCCTGAAGCATCTCTTATAGCCGAGGTGGGGAATCTTTTTTGGGTCGGGGGCCACTGACCCATAGAAAAATCAGTCAGTTGCATATAAGTGAGAAGCAAAAACAAAACAAACAAAAAACCCCCAAACGCTCATCTGACGTGGCCCCCGAACGGGAAGGAGAAAGACATTCCCTTCTCACACCAGAGCCTAGGGGAGCTCTGGTTGGTAGACTTTGTGTCTCTAGCCCCACAGGAGGATGGGGGGCGCTGGAGTGCCTGCATGGACATCCCAATGCTGGGAGGGAGCCCCAAGCCTCAGGGGCTGGATCCAGGCAAGATGGAGGCCCCGGGCCTTAGATTCCCCCCCTGTCTTATAGCCATATGCTTTCTCAAAGGCTGTTGCTTTCTGTGCTGTATAATTGCTGAAACAGCATCAAATAGGCTGTATTTCTACTGACGGGGCTAGTGAGTTTCAGTGATTCTCCCCATGCCACAGGCAATACAGTTTGTACTTGTTCCCTTGTTGGTATCGCGTTGCTAGTGACCTTTGAAAGAAAGAAATTACTGGGGCTGTTGCATTCTCTCCAGTGCAGAGTGAAAGTAACCTGCTCTCTTCCTTGCTCTTGGTGGCTTAGGGCGATGTACAGCACACCTTGCCCTGCTGCACAGGAAGAACAAACATATTCACTGTATTTAGGAACTGCCCTTCAGACTCCTCTGGTGTGTTGCATTCATGGGACAATTTTTCTAGCAGGGCAGTAGGTGAGGCCTCTGCTTATGGTGTCAGTGGAATTGACCCTTCAAGAGTTCAGTCGTTAAATCCCTCCTCATTTGTAGCTTTTTCTCCCTCTCCCCCATCCTTCGTTTTGGTGACTTGCCCTGCCTCTGGACTCTGCTGATTAGAGAGGTGATGTTTGACCTGAGGAGGACTCCTGAAACTGACATAGCAGTATGAGGTATGTTGTGCCAACACAAGGTCACTTTGTCACTGCTTAAATCAGAATGGCAGACACCTTGACCACACATTCAACTCTTTGCTCAGCCTTGTAGATTGTATTGCTATG